TGTCTCTTTTGAGCATAAATACTATGCTGCAAGAGCATTGTGCATCCACACCCTCACTCAAAACAAATGCTCATGGATCCTTTTTCTTCTTCTTTTTTTAGTTTTAAGTTTTGTGACACTTAGTTCTACCCTTTCAAAACTTACACAGCCTCAAATCAATCCTGAGGCATTATTATTATTATTATTATTATTATTATTATTATTATTATTATTATTATTATTATTATTATTATTATTATTATTATTATTATTATTCAGTACATAGATAATTAATTTCTAAAACCTTTGTATCGAGATTAGTTTGAAATTACATCCCCAAAATCCTAAACAATATCCCTACCATATGTTTTGTCCAAGGGAGTAAATAGATAATATACTCCCGAGCGTGTAGGATATCTTTTAGGATCTCGCTATTTTTTTAGTAATTCAGTGGAAAAGATAGATTCTATCCGTTTTTCAAATAATTTAAGATTTTTTTTTTTTTTTTCGGAGTGGTGTGAGAATGCAAATCACAAGTGGTTTCTTGTTCGTCCAAAACAAGTTTTATCTCACTAAAAAAATATATGAAAACTGGGTCCTATAATATTCCATGCACCTATTTAAAGCTGGGTAACATCTCGTATATCTCTCTCTCTCTCTAATGTTAGTCAAAGTATAAAATGTCGGTGAGAGAAACTGCTCTCCCACACCAACTACGATCAATGTGTACAACTACGCGCAATGGCGGCTGTCACCCTGACCATAATTTCAGCTCTTAGACTCAAATTACCCATATTTGTCCCATTAACATCCTAATTACCCCTTCGAATTCTTAACAAGCATGATTGCCCTTTTTTTTTTTTTTTTTCTTTTTTATTTGAAAAAAATTTATCTAAACAATCAAATTAGAGCCTACCTCAAAACTTTCACTAGAAAACGTTGTTTTGATACTCAAATATCATCAAATTGATCATCTTGATATCAAGATGCATGGACATGAGAAAAAAAATGGATTTCAAGTTTTGAAAATAGTGCATCTTGTAACGTATTTTTTGACAGTCAATTTTTAAGATTTGCAAGCTTTCATAAATCTGCTTGACCTACACTATTTTTTAAGTTTTAAAATTTTTAAATATATTGTGTGAATTAGAGTTGGATGGATGAAGCGGAGATGTGCATCCAAAGTTTTATGTGATCATTGTGTATTACTTAAACTAAAGAGGAAGTTCTATAGGATAATTGTAAAACTAGTCATGCTTTATGGGACAAATGTTGTGCGGTCAAAAAACAACATATTTATAAAATGAGCATAGCAGAGATGAGGATGGATGAGCGGCAAGACAATAAATGATAAAATTTGAAATAAATACATACGAGGGAATTTAAATGTGCTTTCAATAGGCGATAAAAATAGGGAAATAGACTTAGGTTGGCCAGCCATATGCAATGTATATTTAATAAAATACTGGCTAGGAGGTTTGATTTGGTTCAAGTGGAAGATTCTAAAAGGGTAACGAGAAAACCTAAAAGGACATAAATAAAGTAGCGAGAAAAGATTTGGTGACTTTTAGTCTTGCTAAGGGTATGCATACTCTAAGAAGGATTTCTTTTTTTAAAGCACATATAAAAAAAAATTAATATTATACGGCCATTTATTTTTCAATTAAGGAAGTCATAATCACCCTTAGCCATTAAATGTGAAATCTGCTAGCTTGGAATATGAAATTTTCTCTTAGACCTTAAGCACCTCTAGGCAGCCAACTTTAAATCTAATGGCCAAGAGCAATTGTCACCTCCTTGTACCAAAAATAAATAATCTTATTGTCTACTTTTTATGTATAAAAAGGATCCGGTTTATATAAAGTATAAACCATACATAGTCAAGAAATGTGCACCTCCAAACCCTAGTTGGACATGTAATTTTTTGTGCCAAAAACCCCTGCAATAACCAGAAAACCTATTTCCACCCCTAACTATTTCCACCCCTAATTATAAAACCCAAAGCTCCAAAATGGTGCAAATCAAGTTGATATATAAATATTTGAAAATCTTAAAAATAGACGATCCAAATATTGTGTTAGGAGATACACTTTTTATAGGACTTGAGTTTTTTTCACCTACAGCATGCCTTGTATAAACATTTTTATATGAACAATAAGTATATAAGGTTATAAACATTTTTCATATGAAAATATGTATATAAGTTGCAGGAGCATGTGCTAAGGTGATCTGGCCCTTTCAAGGGCATATTGTGGATATTTTCCATGATTTAAGAGTTATTTATTTCTGTGTTGTGTATACGAGATATGGCACACGGTTTGCCTCCATCCAGTTTGAATCATTTACTCATACATTCCTCCCCTCTCTCACCTCTCCTCTACACTCTATATAAACCCCCATGACATGCTCATAAACTCTCCCATTCTCTCTCTCTCTCATACACGTCCTTAAAATCTCTCTCTCTCTCTCTCTCTCTCTCATATTCATCTGAAACATAGCATTCTCTTGCTGCCTCTCTTTGATCAAGACCTAACCATGGGTGGCAACCCTCCCTGTGCATCTTGCAAGCTCCTCCGCCGCCGCTGCGCAAAGGACTGCATCTTTGCACCGTTCTTTCCGGCAGATGATCCCCAAAAGTTTGCGAATGTGCACAAGGTCTTCGGAGCCAGTAATGTTAGCAAGATGCTCCAGGTTCGTGAAAACTCTTAACACACTTCATACCTAAGCTTAGAATAAGGATTAGAAAAGTCGTTTGTTATTGATGAAATGGGTTTATAATGCTAAAAGATGTAACAAATCACCATTCAAGAAATAAGATGAGTATATCATGATCAAGAGTAGAAACATTAGCTTTTTGATGCATAAGGGGGTGCAATAAATTTAGTTCTTAATTATCAAAACTTATTTTCGTTTTAGTTGATTGATCATGCATTTGGGGTTTTCAAAGAACTTATTTCCCCTTTTGTTTTCTACTTTGATCGTCAATTTTGGGTTAACTTCCTGCTGAAGTTAGTTAATAAGAACTTCCTTTCATGAGGATTTTCCACTTATTTTAGAATTTTTACATTGGAATTGCACCTCATTATCTCCTATCAAAGTTATCTTGATACTAATTGACAACTTTTTTAGCAGTAAGATCCTTTCATTGAATCAACCCAAGTTTCTCACAAGTAATGATCTTCTTCTTGTTTTATAATTCGCGACACACAGGAACTTCCGGTGCACCAGAGAGCCGATGCTGTGAGCAGCCTAGTGTACGAGGCGAACGCCCGCGTGAGAGACCCTGTTTATGGCTGTGTTGGGGCCATCTCCTATCTTCAACAGGAAGTATCGCGGCTTCAAATGCAGCTAGCTGTGGCTCAAGCTGAGATTGTGTGCATTCACATGCAACAAGAGCCCTTGCCCCTCCCCATTGAAGAACAACCTATGGACCACAAGCCAATGCTTCACTACAACAGTCTCCTCAACTTCTCCTCTCCTCCTCCTCCCTCTGAGACCCTAGGCAATAGGGAATCTCTTTGGACATGATTCTACTACAAAAAAACCATATAGTTGTACTTATCATCAGAAGAAAGAGAGAGTGTTAGTTTCTAAATAGATCAAGTGTGAGAAAGGTTAGGTTTTTTAAAGGTTCAAGAGAGATGAGATGAGGGTTTGTTTGTACACATTAAATTTTAGGTCAACCCCTTTGCATGTGAGGGGGCTTGGAGTAAACATGGGTTTGCCTTTGTTTTCCCCTTTCTCTCAAGTATTAGTATTAAACTAGTGTTCTTTCGAAGTGTTAAACAAACAAGAGTCTCTTTGGCTAAGCTCGTGGCGGTCGGCGCACTATAATATTTTCCATTTTAAATTTATTCAAAAAATATGTTCCATTTTTTAGCCTGTTGGGGTCTTGGGAAATGTGATGTTTTACCCTGACCCTAACCCTAATTTTGCTAATATGAGTTTAGGAGGTGTTCACGTGGGTAGTTGCATGGGGAAAATACATAGAAGATTCTTGGGTGCATTTACTTTTGCCTCTTAAGGGTGACCCAACGTGATTAAGTAAAATAAGAATGAACAAAACCTTCATCTATGATGAGATTCTCTTTTCTCCTTGTCTCACCTTAAAATGAGAAAAATATAATGAGATTCTCTCTCTTCCTTGTCTCACCTTAGAAGTAGAAAAAGAGGAGGAAGATATACAAATTAACATAGAAGGAAAAGCTTTGTCTCTTTGTGAAGCTTCTTGTTTAGGGATTGGTGTTTAATGGGGCAGGAGTATTCCTCAAAACAATATTAATTGATTCATTAGCAACTAATTAAGTGACAAGACAGTGTTAATTGACAACTAAAAGTGCATGACTTTTTGTGGCAGATACATTTTGTGGGGTCATGGCATTTTGGAACCGTTGTCCCAAATAAAGGAAATATTTGTGAAAATACCTTATGATATTACCCCAGTTATTCGCATCATTATCATCAAGCTCTATCGCAATTATTATCCCAGTTATTTGGAGTTGAGCGCGTTATGGTCAAATTAGAGTCCAATAATAGGGAAAGGAGATGAGTGAGAGAGAGAAAGCAAAGAAACGGATTGTGTTTCCGTTATTTATGGAAAGACTTTGGGTTTCAATCGCTTATTTTCCCTTGTGTTGACCACCCCTACCTTAATCGAGGGAACCATTTTACCTGGTCATGCGCATGAAATACATGGAAATATGCGCACATCAAAATACATGAAAAAACTCTCTCTCTCTCTCTCTAAAATACATGAAGAAAACTCTCTCTCTCATGCAAATACATGGACATATGCTCTCGCTCTACATCCAGCTTCATCAAGAAGACCATTTACACGGTGAATAACGTGTTGGCAAGTCAGTGTGACTATGAGGCTTCATACATGCACGCACAAATTTGTTTTTGTTTTATTGATGGCATTTCATTGAGGTTTGTATAAGGTGTTAACCTTATACTGTTGAAGAGAGATGCCTTTCAAAACTATGCCGAAAATGCAGTTTCGGTGCTACATAGCCTTGCGATGATATGAAAATCTATTGTTGCCCCCAATTATAAAATTTAAAATTCCAGAAATAGTGATGATCAAGAATATTTATACACGTCTTAAAATCTTGAAATGGACGGTCCAGATAATGTGTTAGAAGATGAACTATTTTTAGGACTAGAAATCCTTTTTTCTTTTGTGTCTATGAATCGCGACGTCGAGATCATTGATTTGAAGGTCTTCCAGCATAGGAAAAACTTTCTCTGGTAGGCTTTTTAAGTGCACCTTACTTATACAATATAAGGTTGACATCTCATATAAAGTTTTCTTTTTTAAAAAATACTATATAGTTACTATCTTAGAAAGTCTGCCCAAAGATAAATAACCCCTTTCTAAGACCAGTTACTTTGTGGACAACTCCAACCACTCAAATTTTGGAAGAGACAGTTTCTTAAAGATTTCATAGACATATTAAAATAAGCCCTAACCCTCCATAAAATAAGGTTAACTAGGTCACAAGACACACAATGAAAGTTCTGCTCAAAAGTTCTCACTAGGGCAGGACATGGGCTGCGCGCCTCTCCTCGCCTGGCCCGGAAGAGCCCGGGCTTGGGCTAGGACACCTTTGACCTGAGGGCTGGCTGGGGATCAGGGTTATGGCTCTCCTGGACCGGCCCAATCCGGTTTTCGCTATTGTTTCTTTATTTTTTAAGGAAAAATTCACCTGGCCTGGCCAAAAGCAGCCTAAGGCCTCTACGAACCTAGGCTAAGCCAAAGCTGGCTGGTTGCCAGCACTAGTTCACACAAACAATACAGAATCCTAAGACATCAATCTTCACTTTTTATATACAAACTGGTGCACCTTAAAGTTCTATTCATACCTAAGGGCTCATCAATCTTCACTTTTTATATACAATCTGGTGCTCCTTAAAGTTCTATTCATACCTATGGGCTTGTTTCCTTTTCAAATGAGAAAAGCTCATTTCTAAAAGCATTCGAGCTGTCAAATATACATCAGAAAGAAATGGTTTTTCTTTTCTTTTCTATTTTTTTTTTTCTGCGAAGGGTGTGGTTTACATGAGGTTGAGGCCCTAAACAATCGAAAGTAAGGTATACCTTTAATTGGTGTCGAAAGATATTGCTTCAATACTAAAAATCTTTGCGATGGCTTGAGAATTTATTTTTATATCCAATTATAAAATCTAAAGCTTCAAAAATAGTGTAGCTCAAACAGATCTATGAACACTTGAAAATCTTAAAATTTGAAAGTCCAATTAATACATTACAAGATGCTCTATTTTCAAGACTTGAAATCTATTTTTTTCATGTCCACACATCTTGAGGTCGAGATGATCTGTTTTAGAAGTTTTGAGCATCGAAACGATGTCTTCTAGTGAATTTATGAGGTGCGCTTTAATTTGATTGCTTAGGGCCTCACCCTTAGATAAACTTGAAAAAAAGACCTATGTGATCTTTCCCAGGGGAATACAATTTTTTTTTTAATGATAATAATCACCACTTTTTTATTTCAGCAAAAAGATAACTTACAGATGGTCTTTTTACAAAATTTCGGCCAAACTAGGCAACCACCCTTAAATCTCTACAAAACCCTAACTCCAAAATAATTAAGCTCAAACCCTAATTTTCCCAACCCTTAGATTATATTAGGTCATGAGAGAGAGAGGGAGAGTCTCTAGGGTTGGGGCGTGCCCCCTAGGGTTTTTAGGAGAGAGATTTAGAGAGAGAAATTCATAGAGGAGAGAGAGGGGCATGACCCCTAGGGAGGAGAGAGAGAGAGAGTTTATGAGAGAGAGAGAGAGGTGTGTCTAGATGTGGGGAGAGCTCCCCTATTTGTAGTAAAATTTAGGTCTAGGGTTTCCTTAGGGTTTCCCATAGTTTGTCTCTTTCTTGAGAGTGAATATGGACCATTTTGACTCGTGGAGTGAGAGATCTGAGCCATCCATTCCATAGATGGGCCATCAACATTATGGAATGTGCATGAACTATTATCCCCCTTTCCTTAAACCACTTTCCCATCAATATTTTATAAATAAATTAAATCTAATAAAATATTATTCATTCCATAAAGTAGCATGTTCCAACTATTGCATACCATAAAAATATGAAAAGTCAAGATATACTTTCAATAAACAAAATAAGATATGGCCAATATTTCCCTTCCAAGATTTGACCACATGCACAAAACAAAGTCACCAAAATCAATTAACTTGTACACAAAGCAATCAAGAAGAGGCATCCAAGGGTGGGGTGTGCCACCCATATGAGGCATGTGGGGCCCCTTCCAATACCCACATGGTGCGCCATGTGTACTATGGGGCCCCATGTATTTTTTAAAAATATTTTAAAATTGAAAAAAATGAATTTTAAAATATTATAACTTTGTAAATTAATAACTTCATTTTTTTAAGTCCAAAAATAATAAATAAAATATCAAATAACTTATAAAAATTCAAATAATAAATCTAAAATAATTTAATAATAAAACTAACGCAATTAAATTAATATGATGGAAAGTAGATCCATATGGTTCAGAAATTCTATCAACGATCACGGGGTACTCCACCTTCAACTGTGGACTACAGATCACACTTGTTTTATCAAACCGACCCAGTATTTTTCATGACCCACAGTCTAAGCAGGGGCTCATTAGCGGGTCACCAAAGTCAGGCCGATGAGCCAAGGGGTCGCAATCCCAGTCTGTGGATTACAGGTCTTCCCCTAAATACGAGTCAAGGTCACCACAACATGATGCGACTACAGCTATATGGTACATAGGGGTATCTCTCTCGCACATGCATACGCTTCACCCAAAGGTGGATAACTGGCTTTCTCAAACGATCTATCGATACGCATGCCGTGTGATGAAACATGGATGAGGATTTAGCTCTTGTTTCTGTAGACCTATCATCACACACAAGGGTCACACAGTCCATCGGCTTACTCATCTAAGCATAAGCTCCGACCTCATCAAGGACTAACCCCAAATCCTTTCTCGGTTTATCCTTTATGCCCAGGTACCTTGGGTTTTCCAACCGACTGGCCTAGATAGTCAAGCACCGTTTGGTATCAGCAAACATCATTTGTGTAGTATGGTCCACGAGTGACCACACTCCCACTGAGTTTATGTTCCACTATAATAAATGTTTTTCGTTATACACTCATAATGCTTTTAAATGTCACATAAACCCAACAAAACTTTTTTTTTTTTCTAGTCCTACAAAATTATTTGGTTATTTTATATGTCATTTTTCTTTATCTTTCGGTTCTCTATAAAAAATTAGGTCTGGATCAGGGTCCGGTTGGATCTGGTCTGGGTCCCACATAATATTTTCGGGTTCTGGTCTGGTGACTTTGGGTTTGGATTTGGGTCCAGGTCTTGCCGACCCGACCTATTGCCACCCCTAACTGATAGGCCCGAAATTATTTTAGGTTAGGCCCAGGCCAACACTACCCATGCCCAGGTTTGGCCTAAAACTTTTTAAATATAAAGTTTAGTTAGCATAATTTAAGCCAATAAAATAAGGGAAAGTCTACAGAGATACCATTTTTCTTTTGTACATGGAGGTCACAATTCATTCCCACTCATAAGATGTCAAATTGATGGCTTGGTATGAATCATAAAGTCTAAGAATTTGTTTTTGGAACTTTGCATAGATTCAATTACGCTCTTACACCA